TTTCATCCTGACCCTGTGGCATTATTACAGCAGAGCAGCACATGCAGCACTCCACACACTTTCTCCTTTAGTCTTCATAGAAGATGCTGGAGCAGCAAAAGCAGCAGCTGAGCACCTTCCAAGGCGTTGTATCAGCCTGGAGAGAAAATATGTAGGCTGTGGAGGAGATGTAAATAATCATTTGGACCACGAAATCATGAAATTCCCTTACAGAGGACAACATCCAAAATCAGATTTTTTAAAATCTCTTGGTATGTGTTTCTGACGGTAAAAAGTGATGGAGACACAACTGCCATCGGATACTTTCCCCTCTTTCTTTATGTTGTAGTTTTAGTACAGATGCAGAGATTTACATCATGGTTTACTTAATATTTCAGTAATGGTTTTACATCTACAGAGCCTGGTGAATGATGAAAATTGCATTTGACAGTTTACAATGAGAACCAGAAATCAGCCTCGTGACCTTGTCGTTTAACTCGAGTGTGTAACATTCATATCAGTCGCTCGTTTTTTACAGAAGTTTGTACCCTGTTTTTGCTCCTCTATAGTATGTGTGTAATTTCCTAATCAGACCAGTCCACGTGATTTGTTTGCCCAGGAGCAAATTGGGTTAATTAATTAAAATTCATTTTAAAATTAAGTAATTAACTGAAATTACTTGAATTTGGCTTAGATGTTTAGTTCAGTTATCTTTTTATTATGGTCAAAAATATTCTGTGTGGTCAAGGAAATGCCCATGAATCATTTGTGAGGTTTTGTTTGTGCCAAAAATATGATTTTATAGTTTTGTCCATTCAAGTAGTTTCCCTCTGTCAAGGATTTAGTTGTTTGCTTTGCCTCTGCTGCTGTGTCACTGTCCGATTTAGATTCATCCCATAAATTCATAAGAAAGGACGAGACGAAACAATACGTGGGCCAAAAGAGAACAAACGAGGACAAAAGAAGGACAAAAAGTGAACAACAATGTAGTCAGAACAAGAGATGAGAATGAGAACAAACTGTTCTTGTGGGAAAACCACACGTCCCCAAAACCTTTCATGAGCTGAGAAAAAAGATACCTGTTTTGACTTTGCTCCAGTGCATGTTTCAGATAGTCCAGCAGGGTTTTACATAGTTTATTTTAAAAAATTAATGAATTATCCTCAGTCCGTAGAGAGTTGTTTCGATTCTCAGCTTATCTGAAAATTAAGTCAGCACATTTGGAAACGCATGGTTTTCACTGGGTTTTTATGTGATTGTAGCATCTTTCCCATTTTTTCCACTGCACAATGTTTCATTCGTATTTATATAGTGTCATTTTTCATTGTACCAACATGAATCACCAAAAGGTGAAATGTTCTAGTTCTACACAAAGAGACTCTAAATCCAAATGTAACAGCTCAGTTGTTTCAAGGAAAAGTGCAAAAATTAAATGTTGACATTTCCAAACAATAGAATTTTAGCAAAGATTGAACCCCATACAAGGCTGCCATGCTGAGACATTAGCAGGTGTCATGCTTTCCTGTTGTCTAATGTCATTTGTATAACCATTTGTTTGTTTTATTGGGTGGCTGCTGCTGGCTTCGGTAGACATAACCTGTTTTTATTCTCATGAAAAGTGTGGACATGTGCACATTGTCACTCCCCTACTCGCTCCTCATACATTTAGTTTGTGGTTCTAAGGGGCAACAACAACTTTCTTTCCTAGAGACTAAACTGTTTTCTATTTGTTTCCCACCAGTCTTCACAGTCTCAAACATGGAAAAAATAAAACACTTTGCAGAAAGTACTTTTATATTCGCCCTCAAAGCTCCCTGCTGTTATAATATGCACTCTCGCTATTGTCCTCCTTACACCCTTCTGCATTTATGTACTGTAAATCAGTGTGCGATCACGCCATCTAGCTGAAAAGGCCGAGCCGGCTTCTATCAATCAAGAGTTCCTTTGCACCTTCATGTGTACAGAAAAAAAAAAGGAATCACAAGGTTTTATTGAATGCAGTTTTATGTTTTCATTTCAACGGAATGGTGCGTTTCACAGCAGAGAAATGAACTGTACAGATTATTTATGCAATTATAACTGGTTTTAGATTTTTTTTTAATGATTATTGGAATTTCAGCAAGTTTTGTTACTTGTTGCATGTCTATTAACACAGCTGACTTTCTGTGTCAGTGCACTGTACATGTTCTCGGCATTATATTATGTTTTTCTGTTTTTATTGGAGGCATTTTTTGATGAGTTGTCCCGAGCTACCAAGTGACAGGTTTGTGTACAAAACCAGAGATGGTGTCCCCAGCTGTGGGTGGACTTTTGTACTCTTTGTGGAAACAGAAATTACAGACTAGTAAGAGAAGAAGAAGAGCAACTCCTGGATTATTTTGGTGGTCTTGTATTGGACTGCATTATACAGTATCTGGTGTGCAATCTGTGATAGCTGAATGTTCCTTGTATATTTGTGTTCACTACATCCTACAAGAGAAAAAAGTAGTTACCCCCTGCGCAGAAACAATGTGTTACAATAATGCAATAGCTCTGGTACTTATTCTTTTTAATTTCATTTCAATAAATAATTGCTGTTTACCACCAAAGGCAGACCCGTTTGTGTCATTTCTGAGTTTTCTTCCATGATGTTTCAGGGGATGTTCAGTGAAATGTGAACTGTTAATTAAAGGCCACAAAAACACAATAACAGCAACCTGCTGTAGTAAAAGCTAGAATTACCGCTTTGTTGTTGTATGCCTGCGCCAACCAGTCAATTTCATGGGAATGGGAGAGACATGAGGTCACTGTGACCTTCACGTTTGACCTGTGACCATCAAAATGTCATCGGTTCATCCTTGAGCTTAAGTGGACATTTGTGCTAGGTTTATACAAATTCCCTCAAGGCTTTCTTTGAGATATCAGGGCGGCTGTGGCTTGAACCCCTGTGAGACCTTCCTGCCTTCTCCAGTTCACATGTCGAAGTGTCCCTGGGCAAGACACTAAAACCAAGTTGCTCCTGGTGGCAGCGGCATCAGCATATGAGTGTATGAATGAATGCTTGTGTGCGTGAATGGAAAATAGTGTAAAAGTGCTTAGAATGTGCTTCACTGCATAGAAAAGCACTATACAAGTATAAGGCCGTTTACCACAAGGCTGTGCTGGATGGACAACCCAGAAACATTATGCCATCGCCAGCATGGAGGCATACACAAATTGTTGAGTGATTGCTTTGCCAAACACTATGCCTCCCTTTGAGGTTTAGTATTTTATGAATACATACACAGAATAATAAAACACATTTATGAACCAGTGGTTTAATTTCTAAGATAATAAAAACAATTATATTTGTTAAGAAAAATAAATTGGATAGATTCAAGTTTTTTTTTACCAGAAGTAACCCCATTATTATCACCAAAATCAGATGTATTTTGTTTGGAGAAGTAAAAAAGCAAATACACAGAGAAAATGTACATGGATAAAACACTGAAGGTGGGTGATGTTTCCAGTAAAGCCTGCAAGTGCAACACAATGTGGTAATGAATTATCTAAAATATACATTTACAATATTATACCTTTTACAATTATTTAGAATATTAAGTTCCAGTTAATACAACTTAATAGAATGAATAGTATGAGGTGAAATTCTAAACCAGAAGGTACAGTTTTACTACTGTGTCTTTTTTAAGTTTAAATGAGATCACTAGTGTTTGAATATAATCACTTGTACGGGTCAGACTTAGGAGTTGGGTGCGTGCTGTGTGTGTGTGTCTAATTTGGGACCCTGGTCGTCGCCTACCGCAGCATGAAGCATTTCAGCCAAGTACAGACTGGCTGGACAGAGCAGAGAGAGGCGGGCTCCACCGCAGCACAGCAGCAGAGCCCTGTCAAGTTAATCTAAGAAACACAGACTGATACCGGAAGTCTGTGTCTGCTCCGTTAAAATAAGCCTCTACTTCAGCTAACCATATCTCCTTACGACACTCAATGTGATACAGAATTACATGAATATGTAAATAAATTATACCCTGGTTTATGAAATGTATTGGTGATAGAGTTCCCTTTAGAGGGACGGAACACTCTGCGTTAAAATGCTTAAAATTTAAACCCATAATCAGTGGTAGAATGACTCAGATTGTTTACTTACAGTAAGTAAAAGTGCTACCACAGTGGCACATTTCATAATAATTTATATTATTGGATTGTAATTATTGATGCATTATTGTGTTCATCACATTTAAGCTACAGTCTGAAACATTTTCAGACATTTTACAGAAATCTGCTCCAGAACTTGTCTTGATGTGGAGAGGTGCTGTTGAAGCCTCCTGTGACCCAGACTCATTGAACAGCACTGACAGTACTGCAGAGATATTAGCTTCCAAAGGTTTAGAGTGGGACTGACCTTTCTAATCAGTCAAAGATTTTCAATTATTTCTGCTTGATTGGTAAGTTTTGCTGCATTCACATTTCTTGTAATTTCATAGCCATTGCCATTACTTGAGTATTTTCATTTCTGCTCCTTTATACTTCGACTTTTTACTGCACTACATTTATTTAATAACTTTTCAGAATCTGATTTAAATAAACAAACAGCATAATAATAACATTTTATTGAACCCTGGTGGGAAATTCACAAGCTATCCAGCTGTGCTTCACAATATAAGTATATATATGAGAGTTATAACACTAGATCCACATTTAACAGCTGCAACATTAAAGTAATAAACATGATAATGCATCAATAATTATAATCAAATAATATAATATACAAAATGTATCATTCTGCATAATAAACTTTTATTTTTGGTAGCTACTTTAAGTATAGCCTACTGTGTTGTGGTACTAATAGTTTTGTATTTTTTACTTACATAAGCAACATTTTGAATGCAGGACGTGTACATGAGTGTCTTTACACTGTAGTAGTTTTACGTAAGTAAACAATCTGAGTACTTTCTTGCTGCTGAAAACCAAGTGGGGGGAGGAGCTACTGGAACTCACGTCTGATCGAGGCTTTTACTTTGATACTTGATTCCGGAAACTGTATGCGTCGTTAGGAGTAAGAGGAGCGCAGGGACTGCGGTCATAAACAAACACACGCAGTGAAGGAAACTGGTTAGTGTGTCGTAGAGCTGGATAGTAGCGCTTTGGCAGTGCCTACTGGTTTTAGGGAAAGCTGACCTTCGCGAACCTAGGGTTCAGGTTGTTTTTTTTAAATCCAGGACTTTCTCAGAAAACCGAGGATTTTATCCCTCCTTTCCCTCCTTGCTTCCTTCCCCGGGAGTCGGCTTATGTGACACCTTAACGTCCCGGCGGCCAAACGAGCGAAACATGACCGAGCTGAGGAAGCGAGGCGAAGGCGGAGGCGGGGGAGATATTGACAGCACCGACAATATCAGCGACAAGGTAAACGACACCTTTAGCGATACAAACACGCCAGTTTCCATGTGAGACCTCGCCCTCAAAACTAGTTAGGCGGGTTGTTGTCAGGCGCTGGCCGACTGGCTAAGCTAGCTGGGTTGCCAGGTTAGCACGGCAGCGCCATAGGCTTGTTAGTTAGCAGTTGGTAATCCTGCAACAGCCGCAAGGTGGTCACGGAAACGGCACCTTGTTAAGACAGAACGGTTGTTTTGGTACCAGGTTCACGCCCTCATCGTAGCTGTGGATGTCACAGCATTTTCACTGTCACCATGAAGAAGACTCGGCTGCTGCTGGCTCATTCAGCTGAAAGCCTGAAAGTTGGATTCCCAGAGTTGAATCACATTAAATAAACAGATAAAAGCCATGGAAGGCCTCTATACTTGTAGTGTGAGAGATAAAGAGGTGCTCGGGTGCACACAACGTGGCCAGTGCTAAGCAGAACTGATTTAAAAGACTTGCATATCATGTTTTGCTGCTCTTGTGTCTTCCCCATTGATTTTTCTCACACCAAACACTTCCCTCCTTGCATGACGGCAGCAGTGACCAAATACACTGCTCAAAAAAATAAAGGGAACACAAAAATAAGACATTCAACTATGTTGTGTTCCCTTTATTTTTTTAGCAGTATATTTGCCCCAAGACAAAAGGATAAAGTAACTTTGATTTAAAATGCAGTAATGTGTTCTGTGTGCTTTATTACTTAAGCTGAACTAATTCAGTTCAGGTTATCTCTCATCTGCCACCAGTGGCACACAGAGATGGTGTAGACCCTCCACAATATGACATAAGGCTGTAACATTTGCTGCTTCATTTCATTTGCAGGGTTAGTTTGAGCATCATTAACCCTTGAGAAGTCATTCTGGGCTCTGGAAGCATTTAATGGATTTTTTTTAAAATATCACTTATAGTGTAAACAGTTAATCAAATAGTTAGAAAAAATTATCACTGCTTGAGTCCATTGATAGTGGAAATATTAATGAGTTGCAACCCTAATTATACATGTTGTTTCTCTCTCTCTCTCTCTCTCAACAGGTCAATACACAGAGGAAGGCCATTGTTCAGCTCATTCTAGAGAAGAGAGAGCTGCTGGTGGGACAGAGAGTCAAGAGAGACGGTACTGTTAGGTATGTTAATCAAAGGATCGCTCAATTAATCAGAAAATAATTTGATTAATTTAAAAATGTAATCATCTGTGGCCTTAATCACAAATGTATCTGAATACCTGTGCCAGTGTTAAATAGGAATGCATCTCATTGTCTTTTATTAGCTGAAACTTGCATCACAACAGTCCTCCTTATAGTTAATGCAAGAGAAGTCTTCTCTTCTGCAAATGTAAACAAGTGTTGGCCAACACACTGCACTGCATTTGTCAAGTCATGCTTCTCACATGATTCATGTGCCGAGAGAGGGCAACAGTGGGCAGCACCTGGACAAAAATGGACTTTGAAGGAGGTGAGGACATGCACTAATAAGATGTCAAATGTGGTGCTATGCCAAAACAACCGAACTGTACGTACACACAGTGACCAGGAACAAACGCATATTTAAATTACATCCACGTTTCCCTCACTTGCATCTTAGTCCCCCCCCCCACATATGATGCAAGCATAAACTGTGAGGAGAGAGAAACTGAGGAAACACATTATAACTGACATGGGATGTCCTTTTCTCTGGTCCTTCATGTGAAGTGTCCAATTACGAACTGACTTCCAATAAAGAAAATAGACTTCTCTGAAGGATGCACTCATGTATTCTTGGTTATAGCTCCTCCAGCTGCCGCCTCAGAGCAGAAAAATAGAGCTTTGGGATGTCCTTCATCATGGCAGACTGGAAGGTTGTGTATTGCACAAGAAGGCCCACAGGAACCAGAGTGGGGAGAAGGCGCTCATCAAACCTGATGAGCAGGAACAGAGAGGGGAACAAGTCTCACTGAGAGCTACACAAGGAGCTCGACCACAGTGACTGTTCCACAAAATATTAGCTAACGGACCCATCGGAAATCATAAAGGCACGTCTGAATATAATGAATCGCTGTCAAAATTGATGATTGAATTTTTAACCTAAATATCATGTGTTTTGGGCTATTGCCACAGAAAATATTTTAAGGCATCAGCTGAGAGAAATGGAAGAATCGTTTATTTTATGCCAAGGCCAAACTATAAAAACAAGAAAATTGTTCGCAGTTTATCAAACATGAAAATAATTATTTGTAGATTATTCTTACAGCTATTAGGATCTGCACACATACATTTGGGTAAAAATTTGGTGCTAAGATAATAATGGAAGTGTCATTTATGTGGTGGCATGCATGGATTTGAAGGTGTTCTGGGATGTTTCTCTTCCCTTCTGAATTGCTCGACACACTTTCAGAGAGCATACGTTACATATTGGTGAGGGATTTAATCAACGGGTTTGCTCAACAGCCCCTGTTTGTTTGTGTGTGAGAGAGAGAGAAATAGCGGCACACGGCACTACATTGAAATAAGATTTAACCTAGATATTTTAAATCAATATGTGGTGGCCAATTTTGAGATTGTGGCGGTCTGACACATATTGGTCACTGTATGGGGAACACTGCAATGATACTGTCATTACAGAAGCTAAGATACATGCAGTGTAGGCCTAATTAAGAAAGGTGTTTAATTTATTCTCCCTTTACCGTAGATAGTGTTGTGTAGTGTGAGTACGATTTATTGTAGTCACTAGTGCTGATTGTAATGGGAAATGCACTTGGATTATTCATCTGCAAAAGCTTGCTTACACTCAGACTCTGGTTTTAGACTTGAACTACATTAAGCAGAGATCCACCCTGCAGCTGTGCATAGACTTTTATTTGTGATGCTCTCCTGTCTGTTAATCTATTGACAAACAGACTTTCAGATAAATCTTCACACAACCTGACGTGTTACTGGACTGTGATCATGACGGAAGATGGAGGGCAGGGACCTTCATTGTTTTTTTTTTTATGTTGCATTAAGTTGGAAAGATACCCCACAGCCACAAGCTAAATGCTGCTAATGTATACCCAGCTGCGCAGCTGGGTAGAAGAAGCCAAAACTAAGTACGTCTAATCCAACAGTCCTGTGGAAAATCCTCCTTCATGAAGGTGGTGATCTTCAGTTTGTGTTCAGAGAGGTGTCAATTCAACTGTGTGATCATTTTGGAGGCTGTAGTTTGTGCTGCTATTTTGTTATCCTTCATGAAGGAAAGATTTATTGCAGGACTGTTGTGTTGGTTTCAGCTAAGCATACCTATTAAATTGCTAGCTGAATGTTTGCAGCTACAAAGTGTGAGTTTGCGAACACTTAAGCAGCTAGCAAGTTGCCATTTGGTTGTATGGCTGTTGGACGTATCTGTCCGGGTCCCTGGGTGCATTCACATGATTTAGCTTGGTTATTTGGGCTGGTGAGAACAGTACCATACAAGTGGTGTGAAGTGCTTTAAAATGTGTGTTTGAAAATAAAGGGTTGTCCATTAGGAGTGAAATGACTACAGAAAGAGAGTTTATGGGTAAAAGGAGATGTTACTGACACTTGGATGATGACTCACAGTCAGTAGTTCCAAGTAAATAAGCAAACATGTACAAAGGGCAAAACACATCCTGATAGTTTAGCCTACAATATTAGATCACTTGGTTTCAGAGCTCAGATGAGGCTCTGACATTGAGGCTGAGCTATAGACTGGAGTTTTTGCACGGCTTGTGGGTCCATCTGATGATATTTGTTTACAAGCCCTGAGTGGCTTGTAATTAAATGGTATGAGGCTAGGTTAACCACACACACACACACACACACACACACACACACACACACACACACACCATGATTCAGACCAGAAGGAGCAAAACTGTGACACAAGCATGTGAATCACCCCCCAGGAAACCAAGAGGACCTTGGGTAACACCCCAGAAGTGTTGTGATTTACAGTCTTTTCCTTTTCTTCTGAAATGGCAAAGGTTTTCCTGTTTCTGTCAGCCAGTTTGAGGTGCTCTTGGTAAGACGTAGGCTGGCATTGCTTGCAGAGCTTTAGATGGATGTGTCAGCCTAATTGTCTCATTTGGGAGGTTGAAGGATCACATAGTTGTGTCACACCCTGCAGCAATACTAGAACAGCCCATATGACGTGTACTCCTGCATGATGGATACAGTGCCACCACTCCACTGTTCAGCCAGTTATTTTTTCGAGGGGCCACTCCCGGTACTGTGACGAAAAATCCCCCTGTGGCCCAAAAAGCATTTTCTCCATAAACTACAATGATAAAAAAGAGACATCTCTAAAACTGATAACAGGACACCTCAAACTACAGAGCAGGTCATTTCTCACTCTCTGCATCATGAATTTTTAATCCACTGGAGGTTTTTGTTAAACGTCCTTCGAGCCTAGGTAAAGTGAGTTATATTTTTGTGGGCACCACCTTGTAATCTGGTATCCAGCTTTCTAATAATATATCCATGGATAGTAAGTGAAGCTAAGTGTAGGGCTGCAACCAATGATTATTTTCATTATTGAACAGTCTGACAAATAGTTATGTGTTCAGTGGCATGTTTCTAGGGCATGTGACACACCAGGCCGACAGTCCACCATCGGCCGATGTTGGGCTGTCGGTAGGCATCTGTCGCTGTTGTCTTTGTGGTGTGTCCTGCACCATTGGCACTAGTTGGATCCTGTCGGTGGCTTTTCGGACAATCTGGCATGTTGAATCAATGGCAAGAGACAAAACTCTGGTTGGCTGTTGAGCTTAGTGAATCAGTGTACGAGCAGAGCATGGTTCAGGAAAGTCAGCCTGTTACAGTAGGATCACTCATTTAGTGCAGTTTCCTGCCTCTACAACCTCCTTCTTCCACAGCCAAAAGACTAAGGGCAGAGAACAGCAGTGCCTTTGTCACTGCTGGTTCTTTTGTGTTGGCTTGGTGTGTCTCTGCCCTAAGTGTTTTGTGGACGTGCTATACCCATGTATTTTCACACCCTTTCTGGCTGTGAAGGCTCTGAAGCCAGTATTAACTTTTATTTAGTCAGCCACACACACACCCGGCTGTGTGTTGCCAGGACAGTTATTGGCTGCTCAAAGCTCCGCATGACATTTACCCTTTGTGGGCTGTTTGCTGGCCAGCTGGCTGTCACTGAAGCCTCCAGCTGCAGCACTGTGTTGGCTCTAGCAGCAGGGCATTTAATGCTCTGCCAGTCACAGCTTCATTCTGCCCAACCCTAGTTTGAAATGTCTGTGGACAGTAGAGCAGTTGGGCTTAGCTGCTGGCATGCAGCTAAGCATGCAACACAAATATTAGCATTCATGTCAACCTACAGCAGAGCCCCAATGCAGATGAGGCTGACAAAGTCCAAAGCTGAAATGAAGAATGATTACATAGAGCTGAGCTTTCCACTTTCATCCAGAAATATTGATTTCTATAATGAGCGTTTCAGTCCACACGACACCTCAGAGCTCCTGGCTCTCCTGCTGCTTCAAGTCCCTGTTGGTTGCAGATTAGCCTAATTCCCTGTAGCATGAGTGACCCCATGTAGGCAGTAGCTTACTCAGTGATCCCCTCCTGCGACCAGAGCCAGGCACTGCTGTTGTATCTGCTAGTTTGGACCTCACAGGTGTGTAGACCTGTTTGTTGTGCTATGGTGAGAATGTCGCTGTGTTTTCCTCCTCAGTAGCAGCTTCTCACTGGTCTTGAACCTCCAAGGCTAAAGTAGAGAGGACTTATTTCAAACAGTAATTAGGACATTGGTTCACTTCTCCTCTGGACCTTGTTGGTTACTTCTGATCAAGCTAAATGCCCATAGATTCACTGGATGCTGGCTGCTTGCAGCACAACTGCACCACCTCATTTAAGTTTAGTTTATGATCTTTAGGATTTATTTAAACAGTAGGTGGATTTTGATGTGGCTGGTGAAACCTGCTGAATGTACCTACCTCTTCTAGATCTAGTTTTGTCCTTCATCTTTGTGTCCTTCTTGCTTCTTTCATGTTACTCAGACATTACTGAACTGGTGATCGGCCAGCAGTCGCTGGCCACACGCCTTCACGTTAAAATAGCGAAAGTGTTTGTTGGTTCCATTGTATACTCACTGAGTTTTTTTTGTCTGATATTGTAATTTAAATTGAGATTATTCTTTATAAATGAGTCTCTGTGCTTGTGGTCTACATGGATGATTAGATGTTTTAAGAAGGTGTACTTCAAAACCTATTTCTACATAGATAATTTTAAGGTTCTCGCAGGCTTCTTTTATAAACAAGACATGAAATTTTAAATTGCTAACTGCTAGCGTGGCTAGTTTTCAATGGGAAACTTACTAGTTAAACTACCATTTTTCTGAAAAACAGGCATCTGTATGACTTTATGATGACTGTCGCCACGTGCCATTCGCTGGGGTTGTTTTCTACAATAATAGTAGTAAGGTCTAGATGTTACTATGTACAGTACACTGAAATGACTTTTGTTGTGATTTGGTGCTATAAAAATAAAATTGAACTGAATGATTATTTCTGTGTGACGAGACAAACTGCCCATCCTGAAAGAGCTAACACTTAACTGTATTTATCTTGTGTACACTCTGTCCATTTCTCACCGAGCTGTTTAGTTCCAGAACAGTTCTACAGAGACGCTGTTTTGACCACTGCTGTATTTTCTTTACTTTTTCAGTCAACATGTCTAAGTTCCATGTGGGACCTTGTACCTTTCTGCTGTTTCAGCCAGGCATCAATGTTTCTTCATTAAAATTTGAGTAGAAATCTACAGTTACACCTCTTGTCTCCTGAATCTCCAAGACCAACTCAAGTCACCCCTCCTCCTTGACCCCAGCCTGCTCCCAGTCTCAGCGCTTTCCCAGCTAATTACAGTGTCTGGCCAAGGTCAGAGATCTTATTTCTACATGAATGGCTCCCTAAATTAAACCCTGGTGCCCCCCACTAACCGTATTTAGCAGTGTTTGAGTGAAAGAGGCCTTGAAAGGGAAGAAACATCTGAGAGCATCAGCGAGCCTCTTGAGTGTGTGAGCTAAGGAGAAATTTGACTTGGTTTTAAATACAGGTACGTGGCAGACCGTTAAATCAAGAATGAAGGTGTGTCACTTATTTATTAATGACATTAGTGTCTGAGGCCTTGTCTACACTAATGCTGCTCAATCTGAATGTACATCAGATTGTTTCAGTGAGAACTGTAGTCTTTGCATTGTTTTTATTGTAATCGGGACATAAGCAGAATTTCCCTCAATATTTGTCTTTTGTCTGTTTTTGTATTTAACACTAGAGAACCTTGTTTACTGTAAACTGACTCTCTAGTGTCCCTGGGTCAGAAGCACCGTAACTTTTGGATGTGTGGAACACAAACACAATCCATGTGGAAAATTTAACTTAAAAAAGGTAATTACTTAATAAAATTTGGTAAAACTTCAAATAATGAGCCGTCCCTGGTAGGCTAGTGGTTAAGGTGCAGCTCTCTCACCGCTGTGCCCCGTGTTTGAGTCAGGGTTGCGTCAGGAAGGGCATCCGGCGTAAAACACTTGCCAAATGTCAACATGTGAGTCGTCAGTGTGACGATTCGCTGTGGCGACCCTAAACGGGAAAAGCCGAAAGTCTTTCTATTTGTGCTTGAAATAAATCACTGAAATCATATGATGCTAAAATAAAAGCGGAGAGTTAAAAGTATAAAATTGAAATGTAGCATAAAGTGAATTTGGCCCCCAGGAAGTGAACTGTTAATTATTTTGCGACTACAACAACAAACTCAGGAGAACTTAGTGTGATCCTATAGCATATATGTGGTTCCAGCTGGATGTAGCGCTCCAGAAATTTGGCTGTTGCGTGTGTTAACTGGGTTTAAAAACCTTATTAAAGATTGATTAGCAGCACCAGTGAAGCTGTTTGCCTTCTGGGCAGCAGCATGTTAACCAGGTGTAGACTTTCAGCCCAGTCATGCTCGGTCACTCATCCTCCAGCTTCCTGATAGGGTCGGAACCAGACTTTGTCCTTTTGTGTACATTTTGTTGTGGGAGCTTTCAGTTGATATTTTTCAGATGTCCAGTGTATAGATGTAAATGCATTTACCACAGGTCAGTATTAGACAAACAGTACTGCAGAGGCACTGAAATACTTGAGTGTCTGTTACTGAATACACCCAGCAGCCTCTGGCCTCTATTTGACTACCTTGTCATTTGCATCTCAGAAGCCCTCACACAGTACATCTGCTGTCTCTGTCTTGATTGGAGGATGAAGTTTAAATGTCCTTTTCTGTTATCTCCTTGTATACACTGCCCTGCTGTCTGCACGTGTTTTTCACACTGACCTGTCTACCAAGTGTGAACACTCACTATCATACGTCAGTATATTTGAGTGTCTATGTGTTCTGGCAGGAGGCCGATGCCGACGACAGGCTGGGCCTGCAAGGCGATGCAGAGGGAGAATGTGATGACTCCAAAGCAGCCACTCCAGATGTTCCTCTCTCCACAGCAGATGCAGACCACACTCCACAGTGCTTGAACAAAGCTCTGGAGGGGCTGCCGCCCAGGTATGTGCTGATGAAACACATACTGGCACATGACCTGGTTGTTCCTGAAGTACGTCCTAGAGTTTTCACTGGATAGATATCTCCTCAGGAGCTACTGCCAACCTTGGTCTTGCCACACAATGGATTGGAAGGATAAAAGATTTATTAACATTCACAACTTAACCATACTAGACACTAGTCTAAGGTTATATATTTATATGAAAGGCAATTAGCTCAGTGTAGTTGAACAAAATGTCCAAAATGGTGGTAGCAGTTGTGAACGATCAATTTCAAAGAGTGAAAGCCCAAAATAAGAGCAAGTGTTTGTATTACAGAAGTATTTTTTTAAAAATCACAAATTTGTACTTTTACAATTGGATTAGCATGCTTCTGCCCTGGTGTGCTACATAGATCTATTTGACGCAGCAACCCACAACAGGAAGTGGAACAAATATAAACTATTAGATTCCACAGATTGCAAGTAGGTCACATTGCAGACATCAAAGCCAGGGCAGCCACAGTGCTCAAGTTGGACTTGGCAGAAATGCAAAACAAGGCCTAAAATGTGCAGATCAGGTGGTGTACTGATTTTTACATACCTAAACTAAAGAAGCCTGAAGCATTGTTTGGGTTTGTTTCAGCCATCATGTTGCTGTGACAAGCAGCTTCCCCTTCATTTCATGGATAGACCCTGACGGAATGATTATCATCTATCTCCTGTGCATGTAGTTTAACTGGACTAGAAATGGGCTGTATTCTATGGAGATGGGTAAACATGGTCAATGCAGTGAGGGAAATGCAGATACATTTGCATTTAGCCAAAGGACTTGACATAGAAGGTGAAAGAGTTTAGAAAAGTTAGCTTCAGTTCAAACCTATTTCACTAATGGTGGGCTTCTTCAGGATCTAGCTCAGTAACCTTTCAAGATACGTCAAAGAGGCGGACACCCAGGGTGCCCCGGGGCCGAGTGGTTACAGCACGGCGCTCCAAGTACTTGGCAGCACATTGCATGCATGATGCCGACAGGCCAAGTCCGTCAACATCCTGCAGAATCAGCAGAGTTTTAGCTAGAATTTATCTTTGCTGCAAATCTGTTGCATTGTTTGTCTCACAGTAGCCAGTTTTCTGTGAGCCCTATAAATCTAAATATTCTGAATCAGCAATTCCAGAATAGTACTTGGCTGCAGATCAGACTTTGGTATGAGGTAGATCTTATAGGAATTTTATGTGCAGTGTTTGTCCAAGCATTCTAGGCGCTGTGTATGGAGTTACAAGCAAAAATCTTGAAATTGGCCACATTTCACAGTGGTGAAGAAATACAGATGATGATCCAGATCGCCACCAAAATCGAATGGATTGCTCTGTAGGCCATACCCTACTTCTCCAAAAATGCTGTGAACAAACCAGCTGATGCATATAAAAACATAACTCCTTGGTGGAGATCATTACAGGATTATTTATTTATATTTCTGACATTCACAGCAGAGAGTCAGGCATGATGGTGCCTTTACAATATTCCTGTCACATGACAATCATCATGTATGCTCTGCACTGTGTATAAACAAACATGGCAGTGACATAATAAGTTGTGGTGCTTAAAGTTGGTAGAAGCCCAATGAAGTCTGTGAGTAGTTCCACTCAGCGGCTGACACACCTGCAATCAATCACTGCACAGTATATCCTTGTGAACCTGAATGTCAAGCCTTATGCTGTTGTCTAAAGTATTGTCGGTTGTGCCTATAGAAAATAGTCATCTTATTTTTGAATTTATATGTATATTTTGCAGTGGCAAGACCATTATATTGAGTAGTATGAACTCTGGGAAATGTAAAGAAGGCTGGAGATAAAACTGTACACAAACGGCCATTAAAAGAAGTGTTCTTGCAGGCTTTATGTTCTCATGGTGTGAAAACACTTCCTTCCCAGCAGTCCAGGACTGCTACACTCAGCTGTCTGTACCAGTTCAAGTGAGCAGCACCTTGAACACAAATGAATGAGGCCCTATTTGGTAAACAGAAGTGGAGGGCATGGCCAGCGAGTGATGGAGTGAAGCATTAATCCCTGCAGGCTCAGGTGCCGGTGTGCTGCAGACACCTGTGGATAAACAGACTGCAGGGGGGGGAGATGGGGAAGGAAAGAAATTAACAGAAGGAAGAAGAGACGGTTAAAGGGAAACAGATAGATGGAGGGGGATAGATTTCACAGAGCTTAGGAGGAAGGATGGCAGCAGATGAATGGAGAGAACAAAATGATGAATAGAAGAGGGCTGACCTGAAGGTGAAGGGAGGTAGTTTTAGCAAGAGACAGTGTCTGATTGGGATGAAGTCAGTTGAAGTCAGAGTGTGTGTGTGTGTGTGTGTGTGTGTGTGTGTGTGTGTGTGTGTGTGTGTGTGTGTGTGTGTGTGTGTGTGTGTGTGTGTGTGTGTGTGTGTGTGTGTGTGTGAGCACACATTGCTGAGTGGCAGCAGCAGCGGCTTTTTTCACGATGCAGCTGTTTTTCTCCCCCATTCATGCAGCAGACGTCAGGCTCTCTGCCCTGCTTGGCTCCTGTGCAGCTTTCAGCTGTTTCCTCTCTCCTTTATTTTGCTCCCAGGCAGCAGGCACTGCAGCAGTGTGTCTCACAGCGTCAAACACCCTATAGTGTGCTATGAAGAACACTCCAGAGCCTGTGGCCTCAGTACATGTTTTAGCCATGTTGGTGTCACAGCACAGGAAGTACTGGTAAAATGATTTGTTGTTAGGCCCTAGAGGATTCACCACCACTGAACCTGTGGCCAGTTAACAGTACCAGCTACTAACAGGAGCACTGATCTGAGCCCCAGTGAGCTCCACTGGCTGTTTGACATCACCCGACTTGTTCACCACTGTGTCGATCACTCGTGAGCGTGGTTGGGCCAGCCCGCTCTGCGCCGCCGGGTCCTCTTCTCATGGTGCTAACCATGCACCGAGCTAGGAAGTAGTTCCAGTAGTGTTGTAATCAAGACCAGCTAAACAAGACCAAGACCTAGGGGCTTCAGACCAAGCCAGGCAGAGGCAGAGCCAGACAGCAAGTCACATATCTGTCACACTTTTACTGTCTTCCATCTCCCTTCCTTTGAAATGAAACTCAGATGAAGTGTAAATGAGTTAATAAAATATTCATGAGAGTTTGAGGAAGTAAATGTTTCCTTTCTCCACAGATGGAAGAATTATTGGATACGATGGGTTCTGTCTATAGCCATGATTTCAGGCTTTGTCCCCATCATCTATATGGGACCTGTCACTCTTATATTAGTGGTAAGTCACAGTGATTGAGTGGTTGTACGAGTCCTCAGTGCATCTATGCTGCTCAGTGCAAGCTTTTGTGAACTCACCAATATCCTGTAACTTTGTTGTTTTTCTACAGTCTGAGATTTCTTGTCATGTTTCTGCTTCCTTCCTGTTGTCTGACGTAGGTCATGATTGTCCAAATCAAGTGTTTCCAGGAAATCATCACCATTGGATACAGAGTTTACCATTCCTATGACCTACCTTGGTTCAGGACACTAAGCTGGTAAATGGATTTCACAGTAAACAGCAGATGTGCTCTGGATGCATTATGAACTGACAGTGCTTTACCCTTTAAAGAGCAGTACTATAGACTTTTCAGTTGTCATTTATGCTCCCATCTCACCATAGGAGTGTGTTTTAGCTAGTGGTTGAGACACTTGAACCGTGTTGATGGACACACACTGCCTGTTATATATAGGAAACGGTAAAGAATCACACCTGTGTCTGGTCATAGATGGTTTCCAGTGTGGAGTTCATTCTTTTTATGTATAATATCTTGAAGCTTTGTTTGACATGATGTATGATGCATATTAGGTCAGAAGCACTGTAAATTACATGGTGAGTCTTTAAGAACACATGAAACAAATCATTATATTTTTGTCAGCTGTGTCGGTATCATCAAATATCTGCTGTCATCCACGTACTCTCTGATTAGACAGCTCTCCTTTGGGCCTCAGTGGTACTTTTGTTCATGTTGCTTGGTTGTAGAAAGTATGTAACATTTGAAACAATTCGCTTTTTGTAGAAAAACATTTACATTTCCCTGAGTAGAGTATCAACATAAGTGATTTCAGATGATGCTAGCCATGCTTTACACATGGGAACAAGTGGCCTGTCAGTGGGCCAACAGGCCACCTGAGTGTAAGACCTGTATTCTGAGCTGTCTTTAATGATATGATGTTATGTAAGGATATGAAATAGGGCAAAAACAGGCAGTATCCTTTTGTTTAGAAGTGCCATGTGTTCATTTCTCCAGCCAGCCACAATCTATTTAACTTTGCTGCTCCACCAGTAAAACGCTGACTCAGGTCAGTGTCATCTGCAGGTAGTCAGTACGAGTCTGCTACAGCCACCTGGCTCCCGGCCTGCCTTTGCTTCTGGTTCTGTAGTAGTGTTCGTGTTAACAAGTCACCTTTGCATACACACCCATACACTGTCAGTGTATCAGAGCAGCGCTCAATGCAGCAAGGAGCAAAGATCACTGCCATGCTGGAAGTAAATGAAGGCTAATTGAAACTTGCCCCTTTCACCAAGGCCACCCGTCATAACAAGCCCTTACAAACTCGTACACACACAGAGCAGGTCAATGTACAGTGGACAAGAAACACTGCTAGACATTTAAACCCAGTAACCTACACAACACAGGATTAACACAAGAAGAGATGAGTATTTTTTTTATACATTGCACATGTTGTGTATGTTGTATGTTAAATTTATAAATCAGAAATAAAGCCTGGCAGCATCCCTCTTTATCAAAGAGCACTTAAGCAAACTGGGGGGAAAAATCACATTAACAAAAATAATTCCATCTTTGTCTTTGCCTCAGGTACTTTCTGATTTGTGTCAACTACTTCTTCTATGGTGAAACTCTAGCAGATTACTTTGGGGCTCTGGTGCAGAGGGAGGAGCCTCTGCAGTTCTTGGCTCGCTATCACCGCTTCATCTCCTTCGCTCTGTACCTCGCAGGTGGGTCTCGCTGTATCTGAAAAACACACACTCCTCGCCCCCTGTGCTTCCACTTTAGTTAAAGAGTTGAATTAGACTTAAACAGAACAAAAGAGAAACAGTTATAAATTAATTTCCAAGGTCATTTAATGACACACACTCCTGTCTTTAAGCCTGTCCTGAAGTTTACTGCTCAGGTAAACTGCAGCCGGATGTACCATAAAACCATGAACATGAAGCTTTTATCAAGATACTCATTATATACTAGTGATTCACATACAGTAGGTGAACAAAGAAGTGGTGGTTAACAAGAAAGCGTATTTCCTGGGAACTCCTCCGGCTTTCCTTAATAGATCATACCAAAGAGACCCAACTTGTGAGAGACAATAATCTAAAATAGCCAAAGGAAAACTACAGTTAATTACAACTAAGCTCTGGTCTTTGTTTGTGTACCAACCTCACTGCTAAGATCTGCTATAAATCGTACTTTTGGGGTTGCAGTGATATGAATAAAAAGGTCAAATAAATTTAAAACAAGACTGTGATGTTTATGTCGAAGATAACACAAAAGCATTACCCCAAACTGGCCAGTGCAAACACCGACCTGAACACAGGCTTTGCATTTGCAGAGGATTTTTGTGAACATGTTGCACATCTGTGTACAAACAGTTCTGTCTGACTGCAGGAATAGAGCGGCAGCAGCCTGAGTTTTGTGATGCTGCTGCTGTGAGTTTCCCTCTGGGATGAATAAAGCTTCTGTCAGCTGATCCCTCAGTGGTTCGTTTTAGAGTCTGAGGCGGGTTGAATACATTTCTTCCAGAGTCTTGCTGACCTAGTTGTCTTTCAGCCGACCCATCCAGGCGTCAGATTCGAGTTTGAGCCCCAAGGGCACTCAGCGTCTTCTCGATCTGTTGGCAGTAACAGCTCCCCTGAGGGCCTGCCCAGGTTTAAACCTGACACAGGAGCCTTCGGTTCAGATCCACACGTCTGAATTCAATCAGCATTTTGTCCTTTGGTGTCTTTGTGAAGGAAAGCCGTTAATCGTTTAGTCACAGACATGCTCCACTCATGTCCCCATACAGTTTATATAATTTGTTACGTTTGATACGTATTGTATGTAATCTTGGAGTAAAACCTGACAGCATGTTGTCTACTCTTTCACAGGTTTCTGCATGTTTGTGCTGAGTTTAGTGAAGAAACATTACCGCCTGCAGTTTTATATGGTGTGTATCAGCCAAGTAACCCTCTCCTCCTACTCCTCTGCTCCAGCACTAACCGTCACACCCATCCACTGCCTGCCACCGCTTCGTACCCCCTGTTGTGTCCCTCTGACAAGATTTCAAAAATGCTTCTTGTGCTCTGATGTTGCCACAGAAGTTTTTGGCCATTACACACTTTTGATACACAAAACAGTTTGCTGTTAAATGTTGTACCTATTTGATGAGCTGTCCACATTACTATGCAGAATGATCCTGGATAATTGCAGGACGAATGCAGTGGCTGCATCATTATTTCACTTTGCATGCCCCGGCTGACTCTACTGACCATTTTGCATTCATTGACTAATAAAATTTTGTTTAGCAGACAAATTTATGTAGAGTGCTTTAAAGTGCCATGAGCATTTTTAGACGTCTGCCTCCCAAAAAGCACTGACATTTCTTTGTCAGCTATTAAAACATTTCCTCAAAAGGTAAAGCTCCTTTGTCGTTTAATTTTTTTTTTTTTTTATTTATTTTTTTTTACATATTTAGTTGTGTTCGTCTTCCTAAAACTTGTTTCAATATGTCTGATAAATTTGCGACACTCGTGCCAAAGCTTTTCCACCTGCTGCCTGCTCCTCTCACACCGTCATATCTTCCTTTGGTATATTCGACATGTGCTGTGTATCATCTTACTCGGCAGTGTGGCTTTGTCAGTGTTCCTGGCGTCGTCTGTCTGTTCGTTTGTATGACTCCATGGTTTCTGACACGAGCCAACTTCTGAGCAGGCGTGTCTACATTCTGGTGCAGTGACACTGTGGTGTTTGTGTTTGCCATTTCAGTTTGCTTGGACCCATGTGACCCTGTTGATTGTGGTAACTCAGTCCCACCTTGTCATTCAGAACCTGTTTGAAGGAATGATCTGGTAAGCAGAAAAGACAGACCCGAGGAACCAGTTGTGTTGTTGTACATGTGTCGTCATCCACGCTCTCTGTTGTTGAGCTATAGCCTTTTAAAGTTGGAATCAACTGCAGTTATAATAGTTAATCTTTCCTTTTTAATATTTTGAACATGTTGTCACATCCAAATACCTCACAAGTTATTTGTCCTTGCCATAGTGACATGTGTCAAGTCACACTAGAGGTGAATTTCCAGGGACAGATTTGGGGTAATGCATGGTACACAGTAGGTTCCCCCACCACGTCTCAACATGGTTGAAATGTCTTGTTTTCTAGGTTCATTGTCCCCATCTCCATTGTGATCTGCAATGACATCATGGCCTATCTGTTTGGATTCTTCTTTGGGAGGACTCCGCTGATCAAGGTAAATCTAATGTTTTCTCAGTTGTGTTAATTCCTATTTACATGTAGTGTTGTTACTCCTGGGTTTTAAAAAGAGCAGCAGTGCAAAGAGTTGATGTTAATAGCCAGACAGTGGTAGAGATTTCTCTCTTCACCATTATGAAAAGTTTAGAGAATGATTTCCTTTAATAGTTTTATATGGTTTGACTAAACGATGTGACAGTTGTCATATAATTCAGATAAGTGTAACTGTTATTTGTTTGAAGTCAGTAAAATGGGATGAGCTAAAATTTAAGCATTAAAGCGAGTTAACCCACCTTTGGTGGGGAATTCTAGTTATCCCACATCTTGCTGGGTTGTTGCACACTGAGACATCATTAATAATAATTTTTTTATAAAAAACTGAGGCAACCTTTTGTGGCAAGGTGCTGCTCTGGCCACCAGGAGCAACTTAGGGGTTTGGCGTCTTGCCCAAGGACACTTTGACAGGTGGACTGGAAAGAACAGGAGTCAAGCTGCCGACCTTCCGGTTGGGGGATTACTGCTCTACCTCCTGAGCCACAGCCGCTCTGTTGCAAGATGTCTAATAAATGAGTCCTGTCCCAGATTGACTTCACACTACTGGGTCAAACTGCACTCTTACATAACTGAAGATGTACCGTATTCTCTCTTGGATGTTAAACTATACAATTGAATAGGGAATAAGTGCACGAAAGACAAGTGTGCTACTGCTCTATGGTTACACACAGAAGAGCTGTTCAGTAACCCAGAGCTGAGCTGAGGTCCACGTAAAGAGTTTATTTTGAATCACATGTTTGTGGTGAGGCTGAGGAACAATCCCCATGTCATGTTGACATGAAAGACTGCTTCTATTACTGTCTCTAAACGCCCACCCCACCCTGTGTTGTCCCCTGCAGCTATCACCCAAAAAGACCTGGGAGGGCTTCATTGGAGGTTTCTTCTCCACTGTGGTCTTAAGCTTCCTCGTGAGTATGCTACAATTTGCATTTATTTATTTATTTGGCCACTGTTTGTAGTAGCTGACACAATAAGATCAGACCCAGCTAGATAGACTGGGACTCTAAATCTTGGTTGGTTATCTGCAGATAAGAAAACAACCATTGCTACTATTGCAGTTGTTTGGGTTGTGACTGTTGGCAGTTTACTGTCATTCTCACCAACAGTGTTTTCACAGCATTCAGTCACATGCTTTCCAGGCTCTAGCTCAGTAAAGGAAGCCAGATATTCTTTGTTGCCATTAGAAACGTGGGTGTTTAGTGGTTTAATCCTATACCAGCTAGGATGTAAAATCCTTTTTGAAGTGTGTTCACTATGTGTCATTGATGCGTTTTAGCATGTAGCTGGTGGAAACTTGCACCAAAGCATGATCCTTATTTGAGCAGTTGTGGTGACTTAATGTCATTCTCATGTACTAATACAGAGTCTTCTTTGTTTGTGTTTGTTTACTTCAGATGGCCTACTTACTGTCTCAGTTCCAGTACTTTGTGTGTCCTGTGGGCTTCAACAGTGAGACCAATGGATTTACAGTTGAATGTGAGCCTTCTGACATCTTTGTGATGCAGGAGTACACTCTGCCCACTGCTGTACAAAACACGCTGAGATGGGTAAGACTTTTCATTCCTTCTATCTTAAAATTTTTGCATCAGATATGGCCATTTGAAACATAAGAGATGTTGGTAATCTTTAAATATTGTGAGTGGGTTGTATATGTCAAGCAGTTGTAAATCCAGTTCACCCACTTGTGCCCAGTTGGTTATATTGTCTTTTTTGTAGCTTTTGTTGTTTTGTAGATTTTAAAAGAACTCCCACTTTTAAAGGTTTCACATTTAAACAATTTGTTCAACACATTCATGTGCTGCAGTTGCTATAAATAACTTCTGTGTAAACATCAGGCTAGAAAGCAGGTTAAGATGTGGCTTTTTGCTGTTAATCATTTGTCCCATCTCTCCTTATCTGTCTTTTAGGAAACGGTGAACCTGTACCCCTTCCAGATCCACAGCATCTTCCTCTCATCCTTCGCATCTCTCATTGGGCCGTTTGGTGGCTTCTTTGCCAGTGGCTTCAAGCGAGCCTTCAAAATCAAAGTAAAGAACATCTCCTTTGATTTTTATGTATCATCTTACTTTAATGGTACAGTTCTCCATTAAATATTTTAATCAGGTGAAGTTCAAGTGACGTTAAGTCATTGTTTTTCATTTCATTGCCACAAGTTTGTAGTTTGCATCTCTGTAATCTGTGTTCTTTATGAAACCTTCTGCCATTACTTCACTATTTTAACACTGCACAAACACACTCGACCGACTGGCATGCTGCCTCAAGCTACAAGATCACAGACAGTGTTATGGGAGAGATTCAAATATTGCAGAAACTGGTTGGAGCACTTGGTCTGTGGTACGTGCTGAGATTTGAATTAAAGTGACTGGTAGATCAGCGACACCTTGCTTCCAGCTGTAAACAGCACCACTGCTGTCACTGAAAAGTCATTTCTCAAACAGCCAGTGAGTGCTGGTTTATTCTGCCTTTGTAGCACGTCACCTCTGAGTGACACCATATGTGTTTGATTGGTGAATTCAAGCAAGTATCTTGTATAATGGCTTTAAGAGAAAATGGCTTTGATGGCAATGTGCACATGTAGAACAGGGAGGTTGGTCAGTCTGAAAGCATGCTTAGACAACTTCATACCCGAGTTCTGGTGTTATGACAGTGCAGTCCTTCCTCTCCTGTAGGACTTTGCCAGCACCATCCCCGGCCACGGCGGCATCATGGATCGATTCGACTGTCAGTACCTGATGGCCACCTTCACCCACGTTTACATAGCCAGCTTCATCAGGTAAGAAGTGGGAGAGGTGTTGAAACCTAAAGATGTGTTATCGAGTTCCTTATAGTTGTTTTAAATGTTTGTATATCAGTTCTCATTCAGCTTCAGATGGCTGCGAAATAAAAGGAGCTTAACTAGAAAACAGCGGACGTGTGCTTCTGCCTCCGTCAGTGCTCACATATTCAGTAACCATACTGGACTCCTCATAAAGACATTAACAGTATTACTGCAGTGTAATCACTGCAACAACAAAGTTAACTGATGTATTCATGTATGCAAAGTTGGGAGGGGCATTTTTTGACTTTACAATAAAGGTTTTGGTTAATTGAAAAAAATAATCAGCAGATTATATAATGAAAAGAAAACCCTACAGCTAGATTACTGTGCACTGAACGTTTATGTAGAAGCACATAAGACAGCTGTCTGTAAAATTAATAAAACACCCTACAGCAAACTGAAAACCGTAAAGTTTGTTAATCAATGTGCCACAGTGAACTGGCTCTTTGTAGAAGTTATTATTCAAACATTCAAATGTAAAAAGGTGGATTATTAGAGAAACCAACTGCAGACCTGTAGCACAGTCACATCCCTTCATAGTAAGACTTTACGCCTTCATGAAAACAATCTGAGGTTGATCAAAGCTTCAGTTTTTTTTCCTCAAATTATTGTAAGTGCAAGTCAGTGTGGTCTGCTAGATGACAATGTAAATACAGACAACAGTGGTCAGACGACAAACGAGCTTTTCTTTAGTTTCTGGAATTTTCCTTTTTTATGTAGGATTGGGATTTATTTATTTTTATTTCTTTTGTTTCCAATGGGCTCACATTTTTAATTGTTGTCTTGCAGGGGACCAAACCCCAGCAAAGTGCTACAGCAACTGTTGCTGCTTCAACCTGAACAGCAGCTCAGCATCTTCCACACTCTGCACTTCCATCTGAGGGAGAAGGGGATGCTCCCATCATCTGCTGAGTGAAGGACTGCCGGCTTGACAAGGTGGTGACTGGAGAGAGTGTGTGATGTTTGGAAAGTTTGTGTAAGCATGCACACGCACAGACACATTCTCTTAAGTATGGCGTGTGATCCCAGGCTGTTCTCAGCACGTCCATTGTCATCCTGCTGTCTCTTCGTTTGACTCCCGATCATCTAGAAAATCAGGACCGTGAACCTGCGGTGACTCTCCACTCTGTGGAATAACCTCATAGTAAAAAAAAAACAACAATGTGACCAAAAACAGAAAACAAAAAGTTGTGTTCTGCTTGGACGTCAAACCACACATTGCACGAGCGAGCGAGCAAGCAGTCCGCTTCCTATAGACTGAAGAAAAAATGTTTCAATGAACAAAACAGACTCTGGATCCTACAGCCTTCTCAAACCAGGCAGATGGAGGATATGTAGTTTCCCTGTGGACGGGAAACATTACTATAGCTGAACAAATGGATTTAAGAAGCTTTAACCAGCATAAACCGGGCATGTGGGCCTGAGTGACGGCAAACTGACTGCTGAGACTGCTCTCTCTGGGTTTGGGTGTGGGTGAAGCAGACATATTGTAGACACTGTTTTATAGATTACGGTCTATTTAATGATTTTAATCTCGCGCATAACAAAACATGTAGCATGCACACACCTGGGCTACTGCTGAATTAATAGCTTTTAGGTTTCTGTGGAAATCTCAACTCTCATAACCACCTTCAATAAGGACCGACTGTAGGTGTGTTAACCCAGATACATGAGCATCAGTGACACACTCAAGTCCATGTATTGTAAATAAATACACTGAAGATATGTAGCTCAACAAATATTTAATATAAAACTACTTCTGTGACCTGCTGGGCATAAACAAACACTTTAAGCTTTAGAAATCATATGCAAAAAAAAATGAGATGCATCTCATTTGTAGACTTTAGCATGACATAGTTTGATTTTAAACAGTAGGGATGTAGATCTATGTTGCTGGCTATTTAGAGGGTGGTCTGCATTTAAAAAGAATTTTAAGGGATAGTTTAACATTTGGGAAGGATGCTTACTTTTTTTGTCAAGACATAGATGTTGATTGATTCCTGTCATCTCTGTGCTTCAGGTATAGAGCTAGAGACAGGAGTTGCTTAGCTTAGCATAGAGACTGGAAGCAGGGAGGATCAGTTAGCCTTCGTCTTACTTCTGAAACTCGCCGCTCCATGCATTGTTGGCAAAAAAATCAGGCGCAGTAACTACCTGTATAGTCTTGTCATAGTAATTTCACTTTTAGAACACATTAGATTATACACAAAATAAAATGCAGCATGTAATTCTCTAAAGCGCCTTCTTTTGCCATGCTTGATATGAAAAAGTAGAATTACATAGGTTCATTCTACAAAAGCAACTTTTCCTTCATTCAAGTAAAACTGTTGCTGTTCATAACTTCTGCCTCCAGTCGGTACCGTACACCTATTAGCTGTGCACAAGTTTAATTTAGTTCTGCTTGTAAGTAGTTACATCATGTAACCTTTAAAACCACAGTCATTTGTTGAATCTGCCTTTGTACAGATTCAACAAATGAGATGGCTGTTAATTTGTGAGCTGTGATGAGAGCCAGGCCAGCTGCTTCCAGTCCAAGCTCTAGATCCATACTAGACCCTGACCCAGGGGAAAAAAATCTAATCAACATGTTTCGCAAATTGGTTAACCCTTCCTTTAAAAAAAGGCTTTCTTTAGTGATTTAACAAATGATTTTAGTTTGGGGGGGGTGGGTGGACCCATTGATCTGTCTGAAGGGTCCCTCTGCTTTGACTCAATGCAGTGTTTCCCATACGCTGATTTATGTGGTGGGCCACCAGAATATCAACACTGATGCCACATATTGATTTAAAGTAGGTTAAATCTTTTATCAATGTTGTGCTGTACGTAGCGCATATTTGCTCACCCCCTCCATGCCCCGCTCTGTTTCTCTGTCACACAAACACATGACAATCATGAGTACAGACCGTCTGTGAACAGCTCCTCCTCCTGTGTTTGTTTTAGTAACGCTGTAAATCACGGAGATCCAACTCAACTAATGTGTTATTGGCAAGCTAAGCTAACATTGGCATACAGCTGTTGCCAAGGTCGGCACACTGGATCTGCAAGTGAATAAAGTTCATGCTAGTTCAGAAACTCTGAATGTTTGCCTCTTCAGTCCAGGGGAATACCAGAAGGGACAGGGCAGATGAACAGCACTACTGTAGTACTGTATTTAATTTAAAAAAAAAAAATTCTCCCTCTATATATATGTATATAATTCATGAAAGCCTGACACCCCCGAGCTACCACCACAATTAGAATGTAATTCTGTGGGAAACACTGCAGTGTTTAAAATGTTAAACAAATCATAGTATTTGTCTTCTTATGCATTAAATCACTAATAATCTGATACTGTTTTATTAGCAGTATTTTAGTTTTATGCAAGTTGTAGTTGGGTCTCTCAAAATATGCATTGGATACTTGATTTCAACAGGAAATCCGTAGCCTGTCTCAGAAATCACACGGTCACGAGGCTGCGTTAGCGATGCGACCCTGGGCCTGAATCCAGAGCTTTTCAGAGAGAAATGTTTATTAAAGCACTGTCTGATTCTGATTTCCTTGTTATTGAAAAAGCTCAGGGCCCAGGTCTGAGCAGCCGTCTCCTCCCTTTTGTGAAATCCTCTCCTTGTTCTGAAAAATGAATAAAAACAAGAGCGGAGAGTTTGGATATGGGCTACAGCCTCCAGTACGAACATTTGCAGCTGTGGCTTTTTCAATGTTTTCCATTTTACTGTTTTCTTCCTTCAGCTGATGGATGATGAGGATTTAAGTTATTTGTCTAGTTTGTTTCTTTAGAAGTTGCATTTTAGTGAGTTTTCTCTCATCTGAGGTGAAAGGGGGTGCTGAGTGAACGCTGGGGACCAGCTATATTGTACTGTATCAGTCTATAACCAAACCATTTTCCTGGCAAAACACGCACTACTGCATTACAGGCTTTTCTGTAGCCAACGCCACTGTCCAACTTGTACACTCAACCAGACCACATGTGGACAGTGTTCACACTAAGACAGTCTGACCAAAAAACAGGTGGCAAAAATCAATACAAACAGCAGATGGTCAAATTATTTAGACTTTTGAAGCTGTTTTTAATGAGTCTGGACTGTGCCAGTGGAATAATGAAATGCTGTTGCTGGTGAACCAGTCAGTCAAGTAATCAAAACACAAAAAAAACATCTTGATGATGTAGAACATAAAAATTGTGAAATTACCATTTGTGCCATTTAGGAATGCTTTAAATTAATAATGAATGAAGGAATTTTAAAATGGATTTTTAAAATACTCCTTAAACAGTAAGAAACAATAGAAACATTTTAGATATTTTGCTAATCTGCTTAAATTAATTGATAGTAATGAAGCTGTACTATTGAGTGACAAATTTAATAATTCCATTAGCTTACCATCAATCATGTAAATGTAATAATGTTGGTTATTGTAATCGAGTGTACGACTCCACTGGTGTGCTCGAGACTCCATAGTGTTACAGTTGTGTGAGTTAGAGCTGTGTTGTTGTGGGCTAACTTATTTTTATTCAAGTTATGAAGATGAAACTTGTGGTACACAAAGGTAGGAAAGCGACAGTTAGCATTAGTCACCCAAATGTCAGCCAGTGATGCACTGCAGACTTTTGGTTGCTTGTCTTTATAATTTATCATTTGTGAATATTTTATTTGACTTTCTTTCAGCAGAAATGTTTTCTAATGAGAATCTCAAGCATTTGGAGTGGATAAGATTAAAAATTCAGTGAAGTATGCTGTTAATAAAGGGGCAATGCAAAGTATAACTTCTCTTGTTAGGGATGTTCTGAAGCAGTTTACTGTATGGAGGTAAATAAAGTTTTTTTTTCTTTAAAATGTCTGTATATTTTGTTCATGGTTTCATGTTCTCTTCATAAAACAAAACTGAGGATTCACATTAAAGGAACAACTTCAGATTTATTCGCAAAACAAACCATGTGTTCCCAGTCTGACATTTAAAGATAACATTCTGCACCGTGTGAAAGCGTAAATGCAGCACTTGCACTTGTAGCAGTTACAATCACACAGATATTGAAGCAATGAGAACAGTAATCTCTCACCATTTGGACGGAGAATCTACTGGCCTTGATAAATGCACCAGCACTGTGTTAGAGGAATAGAGAGATTCTTTTAAAAGTGTGATTTTTCTCTGGTAGTTTGGTGTCCCAGGTAACAAGTAAAGACTGTTCTGCTAAAACGCACAAGAAATCTGGCTTTAACTTGAAAAAAATGCAAATAAGAGTTTATATTAGGTAAAAATGTCTGCCAAAATCATGTTCATCATTTTGGATCCAAAATGTCATAATGAATGACAAACAAATTCAGGCATTCAAAAAAAAAAAACAAACCGCGATCCTCTCTGGGGAAATGGGCTACTTTTTTTTTTTTTTTTTTTTTAATAAAAAAACTTAGTTACCTATGTTTTTTTTTTTTTTTTTTTTCCAGTTACGGTTTTGTTTTCCGTGCCAAGCTTTATTTTTCAGTGCCAATTGATCTGGCCCCATAGAAAGGTGGGATAGAGTTATTAATTGTGTTGCCTTATGCTGAAGAGGACATGCCCTTGAAATGGTTGTTTCAACAAGACAATGACCCCAAACACACTAGTAAATGAGCAAAGTCTTGGTTCCAAACCAACAAAATTAATGTTATGGAGTGGCCAGCCCAATCCCCGGACCTTAATCCAATCGAGAACTTGTGGGGTGATATCAAAAATGCTGTTTCTGAAGCAAAACCAAGAAATGTAAATGAATTGTGGAATGTTGTTAAAGAATCATGGAGTGGAATAACAGCTGAAAGGTGCCACAAGTTGGTTGACTCCATGCCACACAGATGTGAAGCAGTTATAACAAACTGTGGTCATACAACTAAATATTAGTTTAGTGATTCACAGGATTGCTAAATCCTAGAAACAAAAACGTTTGTACAACATAGTTTTGTGTTTGTACAGTCAACGGCAGACACTGCTATTTTTTTGAACACACCCCTTTCAACTAATTGCCCAATTGCACAGCCTTAAGAGCGTGGATATCATGAATGCTGGGTCTTGTTTGCTTTCTGAGAATCTACTGCACCTACTGGTAACTTGTTTGCCATGTAGCAATAAAAAATATACTAAAAACCTGGATTATTCTGGTTAGTCACATTGTACTGCTATTATTTTGAACAATACTGTATATCCAGTTGTAGGAGTCATTTAAATGCACAGTCTTCCTTTGACAAGACAAATGTAGAGATAATATGACACTGAAATATTTGAAATGAGGTTATATTTCAGTTGATATTACACACATTCCTAATCAAAATACTTTAAATAGTGCACCTTGTATGTCTATACCTGTCCAGTATAATGTTTAAAGTGCCCTTCACCCCAGACTTGGAATGACACTTCTTTGTTAACAAGTCAACAACATTTGCTGTGTATTAGGTTGAAAGTCTGAAAGAAGCCAAGCCAGAGAAAAAAACAACTTATCTTGTTGTGCACATGCAAATAGTAGCTGGATTCATTTTAAACCTGTGTTTGGAGTAAACTGAACTATAGAAACTTTTATAAACTTGTTTTTCTGTTCCGCTGAACCCTTTGGTTTCAGGGTGAATAGAATAATCAAGTGGACTTTTACTATTTATCTATAACCATCCATATGCCACCATTACGCGTCACTGTGTGTCTCCTGTCTCCGAGGCGACTTTTGTTGTGATTTGTTGCTATACAAATAAAACTGAAATTGAATTTTAGGCTTTCTGAGCAAATCACAGTAGGAACTATATTGTGGGTTATTTAAAACCTTGATTCTGAGTGGTTGAAGATGATTGAGTGCTAGCTAAATACATTATTCATGCTATCTAAAAAATACAATGAACGATCAAGCTTTGGCTGTCAGTATCTATCACTCACCACGTCAGTCCATTAAGTTTTTGCTAACCTCTACAAGGGGTCCATACTTTGCCTTCACCATGTGAGGTCACATGTTTTTCCATTTGTGTTGATTCCTTCTCAACATTTGAACCAGTTTAAGTGCTGAAAAGAGATTAATCTACTTTGTTACTGGGCATCCTCCTGATGAAGTCAAATCTAAGCAGAAACACTTTCAGCAACTGAGCATTAGATCATTTTTGTCCTACATCTCAGTTATCTTAATTTTCTGTGGCCACTTCCTTTCAAGATAGCTAGGTGACCAAAGCATTAAATGGCAGTGTTGTCTCATCTTCCTCCTCCACAAGAGTCCTTGGGTTGGTCCGATCAGGGCAGAAAATTAGCCGTAACAGGGCTAGTCCCACACGCACCAACAGCCTCAACACGAGAAAAGCAAAAGGTACCGTTATCTCCATCAGGTGGAAAATTTGGGCACTAAATTTACTCAAAATACAAGTTACGAAAAATGTCCCTAAAGCTACACAGGGATACAAAGCTAGCTTAGCTAGCATGAACACGTGCTCACGTCCACCATACCTTACATAGGGGTGCAGAGTTTCCCGCTCATTGTAAAGCGCGACCACCCAAATGGCGAGCTGAAATATACCTGCGAAGAAAATGATCACACAGCTGATCTGAATGGCTTCCAGTTCATTGTAAGAGTTGCGCGGGAATTCATGTGTTAGCTGGTAGGCTAAAGGCAAGCCTCCAATAAAAGATAGAGAGAAAGTGTTCAGCAAACCCATGAAGCGCGTCACCTTGATTACATGGAGGAAGAGCGAATGGTGGACAAACCAGAGAAGGCCGACAGTGACAAATGAGCCGAAGTAAGCGAGATACTCTGGACCATAGACTTTTAGAGCTGTTACCAAGTTGCCGCCAAACTGCTTCTGTACCACTGTTGGGTCTGGAACGTTGTCCTCGCTGAAATGAAGGAACCAGAGAGGACAAATGTTAATTAAACTATTAATATCGCCTAATTCGTCCTGTCCTCAGATGTACACAGTGTCTAATAAGGTATTTCTGTGAGTAGTGTGGTAGCAGCTGACCAACTCAAAGAAGCTTTGCAGATGTCACTAAAAGTTTCAGGTACTAGACACAGTGCAGGTATAACTGGTGCATAAATACAGTAAATCCAATATGTGCATGTGATGCATACAGTTCTCACTGTCCAGCCACGCTGGCTGCATTAAATGTGGTCATGGGGCCTCCTGAGGCACAACTTTGTGTTTTTGCTGTAACAGGTGTTGTAACCTCTTTTCAATGCACCATAGAAAATAGGCATCTGTCCTGTATCCACCCACTGTAGGAAAGCAAGTGAAGCTAACCAGATGTCCAGGATGAGAAGAGTTGCTACGATGGCATAAACTCCATCGCTGAAAGCCTCCACCCGGTCTTTGCTGAGGGGCTCATTGGGCAGGTAGGTGTAAAACAACATGGAGTCTGGAGTCTCCTCCACATGACCTGAAAAGGACAAGATTTGGGTTCATTTCTGCACGTGATACATGTCATTCGGAAAGAGACTGACATCCACGCTCAAACGTCATTTCAAACCCCTTTGTTGTGTTGTATGTGGCTTTTTCCCACCAGTCTACAACCCATCCTAACAAAGTGACAGTTCACTGTGGCACTCAAACCTATGCTCAGGTGCATCCTGTTGGCTTTACTTTTCCTTGAAATGTGTCCAGAACGTGACTGGAGTCCACCTGTGACAAACTGTACTGACTGGACAAAACAGAGCCCTGATGTCCAAGTAACTTTCTGTAGACCTCTGTGTAAGTGCCATTTTTGTAATATGCATAAGTTTGATTTGAAATTGTTCTTTTTGAGTAATGCAGCTGAGTGTCAAGTTCATTTGAATTGAAATTTATTGTAAACCTGTGGTTACAATTTGTGATGGCCTTTTGGCGCCATTGTATGAGACGCAGGAAGTTCATTTTCTCTTATTTTATTCTGTGAATAAACGAGTGGACGGCAGAGCAACACGGTATTTTACCGTGAGTTGTCGCACCAGCTCAACGCGTAAATATTCAGTCACATGTCCGTTCATTATGTATTATTATAAGAAATGTAAAAACGAAAGACATTTAAATACGAACTACAGATAACCATTACACTCTGTAATAAAGCTGTGGTGACACTTTGTTACTCAAAGTGGCTCACTGTCCTGTGACAGCCCACTCAAACAGCATTTAAAGAATTCTGAGAGCATGAGGAAAATGATGAGACAAAAACTGATCTCAAAGTCCTATGTGTGGCAAACACCAAGCTTAGCTCATCACCTGCTAATACCATCTCCTTAATGAAGCACGGTGCGGACAGCATCATGCTGTGTGGGGACTTCTCAGCAGCAGGGATGGGAAGACTGGTCAGAACTGATTGAAAGTTCACTGCAGTCAGATACAGAGAGATACTGAGACTGCAGCATACAGCCCAGACTTTGACCCCTTAGATGGCAGTTTACAGACACTTCCTGTCCAGTCTGATGGAGCTGGAGAGCATCTGCAAGTACCAGAAGACCCGAGAAGACTGGAAGCTCTAACTGGTGCCAAAAGGCCCTCTACAGAAAACTGCATTAACGGTCTGAGTACTTTGCTTTGGGTGTTCATTATGGGTTACTGAGTGTAGACTAAAAAAGGCATTTTAAAGTGAATCTAGTGAAGTGAAGGGGTCTTCCTGAAGCTAGAGGTAAGCACATTTCCATTTGTCCTTCCTGTCAACTGTAAGTGTACACGCTTACCAACAGCTTTGCTGCAACACCACTTTACACACTGGGAGATGTAGGGCAGGAAGATGACAATGGCCAATAGCACATAGGACTGAAAAAGAGTTAAAGGTGAAGCTGTTAGATGAGTGGAGGACCTGTCGGGATAGGGACAGTGCATGAGGTGCTTTCTACACAATAAGTAAATAATGAAATAAACAATTAGTGGATAGTTAACTGATTACTAATTGAAGTCATTAAGTAAAATATGAACAAAAATAATCACTAGTTGTGACAAATTCTTGCAACAAGATCAGCATAATTCTCAAAACCAGGATGCAATTGTCTCACTTCTTTAACAGTCAACTGATGTTAAAACGTTAACATAGCTTCTTTAAAGAGGAAAAGGATTTCCACGCACCAGCTGGAAGAAGATTAAGGAGACGATACTGGTGACGAAGCACATGATGGGCACTCTCATGATGACTTTGAGGATGTGGTGTTTATGGAAGGTCTGGCTCTCTGAGATCTGGATCTGTTCGTTCAGCACGAAGGGACGGCTGAAGGTGTACAACACAATCACTGCCTACGGGAACAAGAATGGGAAATGGCAATAAAGAGGTAGGATTTTTTTTTTTAAACCAAAACCAAACTTCCTGAGGGTCATGTACATATCTGTAGGTATACTGTCAATTGATTAGGTTAGTGTCACTGTCTTCATTTTTTTAACAGCAGAACAGAAGAGATTCATTTAAACTTCAGACAACACTTCAATTTTTGAGGCTGTATTAGCAGTGGTGGAAAAAGTACTCAGATCCCTTACTTAAGTAAAAGCAGTGGTGTAAAATTACTCTGTTACAAGTAAAAGTCCTACATTCAAAATGTTATTTAAGTAAAAGAACAAAAGTATTAGCATCAAAACATCCTCAAAGTACTAAAAGTAAAAAGTACCCATTATGCAGAATGGCTGCACATTAACATTAATATAAATCATATTATTGGAATATAATTACTGGTGCATTACTGAAAAACAGAGATGGTTGACTTTGGCCTCTCTTGGACTTGGGTTTAAAGCACAGCCCACCACTGAAGTGACTATTAGATCACAACTTTATTCCACATATCGAAGGTGTGGTTATCTAAATCAAGAAATACAAATAACAACAAATGATGAAATGATATTACACAATCGAACAGATACATCCCAAATTAACCATTTCTGGGTTACATACATGTCTACATACGTGTCTATATGACCTGATATCGCAGATGAAATGGACCGTGTAATAGTCCCAAAATAGCCACAGAAGGGCGTTCTAAGTCTACATAAGTAACACTAGCGAATACATAAGACGTCAATTCTTTAACGTAATTCGGCCTTTTTTCTTCTTACTACCAACACAGAATACAGCAAACTTTACTCACGTTCATGGACGCACACCAGAATGGGGGTAAACTTGGTAATACATTCCGACTAACTGGAACTCCGAACACAATGCTAGTTAGCCCCTCACACGGTGGCTAATGTGACACACTCTGAAAACTGGAACATACCACTCGCGGGGGGAGAAACAAGAGGGGAGGAAAATGGAATAGTCCAAGTGACATTACCCTTTTAACAGACGCCCCCAGATTTTGTGAGAAAATCTGCACATATAAAAAAGGCCTAATGCCGTTACACAATGTTAATGGTCTGGCACTTTAGGAAGGCTGATGATCCTGGAGACAGGTCGAAGGTAGGAGCGATCCCTTACCCTCACTTCGACAGTCCTTACTTTACCATCAGGTGAAGGTGAAGTCTGGATGATCTGTCCAATAGGCCAACTAGCCCGAGGTAGCTGGGGGTCAACAACCAGTACTGTATCCCCAACTTGAAGGTTGGGAGAGTCAGAGCACCACTTCTGACGTGTCTGGAGGCCTGGCAGGTAGAAACGGATGAAACTCCTCCAAAAGTGGTCCGCCAGCAGTTGACTATGTCGCCAAATTTGTGCCTTGATCTGAAAGCAGTTCAAAGGGCTTGCCTCGGCGTGCCACAAATCTTCTCAGAGCCATCAAAAAGGAGTCAGAGTCAGTGCTAGAAAGGAGGTCCAAGTGAACTGCCCTAGTAGTCATACACTTGAAAATAATCCCCCATCTTTTCTCGGTTCTCCTACCAATCTTAATACGGTAGGGACCGAAGCAATCTACTCCTGTGGAATAAAAGGCCGGCTTGAGGAGGCGCAACCTTGCCGGAGGGAGATCTGCCATCCGAGGGTGTCTTGGGTTCCCACGCCATTTTCGGCATTCGGTACAACGATACTGATGTCGTTTGACTGCCTCCCTTCCCCTCAAAATCCAGAATTTTCTTCTCAGCTCTGCGAAGACCCGTTCACTTCCTGGGTGGTGAAGGAGATCGTCATGGTGCTGGATGAGAAGCTGAGTGATCTTATGTTTAGAATCAAGACCAACGGGATGAAGCATCTCAGGTTCAACATCAGTAGCGTAGCGTAGCCGGCCTCCAACTCGGATGAGCTGGGCTGAATTGTCAAACTCTGGGGCGAGATTGATAAGACGACTGCTACTCGGCAGAGACTTGCTCATCAACAGTTGTTGAAAGTCAGTGGGAAAACATTCCCGCTGCACTCACCAGAATAAGCCGTTTTCTGCTTCTCTGTATTGATCAGCAGTAAGTGCAGTGGTAGCCGCCCCCTGTTGGCACTGTGCAGTGGCTGAAACCAGCTGATTCCATGTCTGAAATTGCTCGACGTCTGGAAGAGGGGAAGTACTCTCAATGAGACCACAGAAGGTAGACTTCTTTAGTTCTTCACAGTCTGTGGTGATGATCGGCACTTGGCTTAGCTGGGGCCAGTGATCTGGGCTTTGTTGCAGAAAGGCAGGACCTTTGAACCAGCGACTGTCCGCTGTCAACACCCGAAGATGTTTACCTCGTGTAATATCATCTGCAGGGTTATTTGCAGAATTTACAAATCTCCATGACTCTCGTGTGGTCAGGTCTTGGATCTCTGCAATG